AAGTTCAATCGCTAGAGAGTAATTGTCAGGAGCTTGTAATTTTTCAAGAACCATGTCTCGCAGAAGAAATAGATTCGAAATCATCATCCACAGACAAATTTAAGAGTCAGCAAAAAATTGAAATCTCTGAAAATATTGCCAGTAACCATGGTGTTCGTTCACAAGTCAGCACTAGTTCAGTATCCCGACTAGAAAAGAAAAAGAAATTATCTTTAAGCTCCCAAGTCGAGAATAAAGAGCTTAGAATTGTTCCGTTTAAGTTGGAAAATTTGCATGATAATGAGTCAGACAGAACAATGGTTGGCCAGGATGTAAGATCACTCTCTCATCCAGCTTCGTCTATCAAGAATGTGAAGGATTTGACAGTGAAAGATCTCAGGGTCATTGCGAAGAGTCAAAAGTTGCCACTGTACTATAAACTTCGGAAGGACGAGCTGCGTGAAGGTCTTGGCCTGTAACTGCAAGATACAGGTGGTTGCATGTTATTGTGATCTTCTTGAGCATGTTTGGCTAAGCTTAAATAAATAAAAGTTACTCTTCTGATGGAGTTTTGGATAACTTATTTTACTTAATTCTAAGTTTAAAAAAGTTATTTTTTTAAAGTGATCCTTGCCTTCCTGTAAGAACAAGCCACTTATTTCGAAATTTGACGAATAATTAGTTATTTGCTTTTAAACTCGCATATTTTCTTATAAGTGAACATTTTAAGCTTAGCCAGACATGGGTTTAGTTCTATTTCTATATTAAGCATGTTTAAATATTTCTAGCAGAGAAAAAGTCGATGAGAAGAGAGGAAACTTGGCCGCTGTCACAATATAATATAGGTTAGCTATAAATCGAAAAGAAAAACTTCATCGCTTGTAAAGATGACTGATAGGTTTTCCGCTGGCTGTGCATAAAAATCATGTATTTGGAGGGAAAAAATTGAAAATATTAAATGTCAAGGGCTCACTTTTGGGCTTAATATCAGTCATAAGATTTTTGTTGTGAGTAAATGTTTGATTCCATAGTTTGTGCCTCGGTGATCTTGGATTCACCAGGGTAAGTATCAATGAAATGGTAGAATTAAAAATACACATTTCCTCGTAACACAGATCCTGGAGTATTAATATTGTGAACTTTTTCCTAGATAGTAATCTTAGCATGGATGATCATAGTTGAATGCCCGGTTTTCGTGCTCTTCAGTTTCTCTTTAAATTGTGTACACCTTATTTTCCTCATCTCTTTATTCCTTTCCTTTATTTCTCCCTTTTTTGGGCATTCTTTGCTGTGTGTATTGACGGTCCTACTTGCCTACATTTCTCTGGTATAGCTGTTGTTAACTACCATATCTCACTTAGAATTTACCTACTTCAGTGCTTCGATAAGGTGGGCAATATGATGTGTAGATTACAGAACGTTGCATTCTCTATGGTGAGCCGTTGTGCCTCTTTCATAGTTCAAGTTTAGCATATCATTTAGAGCCACCTAAACTGCGTTTGTAATCTCAGTGGGACGGCGGGGCCGAACCCTGGGCTTCTTGAGAGAGAGTCATTTGATGAAATTGTCTCCCTTAAAATAAAAATAAAATAAGGACAATTGCATTTACACGCAAAAATAACTTTTCTTTTTGGATGGATTACGTCCAAAAGGTTTGTGAGCATATGGAAATTTCGATAAAAAATATAATTTGAGCTAATTTCCGAATAGAAAAAGAAAAAGATTTTGTTTGTTTTAAAATTCTTGAAAGAGTTGTATATGGTGGAGAGCTCATCTTTAATATTTTTAGTTAGGTAACTAAGAACAAGTTGTTTTCCTTCCATTTATAAATATGGGCCATTAACTTGACTTTGTTATTTCAAAATTATTTTTGATCAAGGCCTAATATTATAAAATTAAACGATTTGGAACATACTTGAAATACGTGTTTTATCCATACAAGTTATACGAATTTCACACTCAAATCACTTGAAATACGTGTTTTGTACATAAAATGTTATGTGCATAAGGAAATATTATCTTTAATTCTCTTTATAACCACAGAATCGTCCAGTTGCAACATATTACGACAACAGGCATGGACATCACATTTGGTCCCATCACATGACTAGCTGTACCTGGAAGAAAATAGGTTGGAAAAAGGAAAGATGTAAAGACCCACTGTCATTGCCCAAAATACGATCGGTAGAGTTTTGCACGAGGATTACATTTATTCTCCATAAAATCAATTACTATTTCATTTTCATCTAAATAATATATTTTTTTATTCTTTCTTATTTATTTATCTCTCCATAAATTAACATTTAGTCGAGTCCTCTCATTGTGTCATATACATATAATTTTTTTTATATATCAATTTTCGTTTTAACGCTAAAAGAATTTATTTTTATTAATTATATTTTTAGATTATTTTGTTCTCCATGAAGCTTTCTCGTAGAAAAGAAAAATTTTAATCCGTAATAGATATTAGAATTAGAGGTGTGTCTGTTAGAAATTTTCATCAGATTTTGAGCAGAAAAGTTATCATTTTTTTCAACTTGTGGTTCCCACCTGTGAGACACGAGGTCAACAATGGCTGCTGAGTTTAAAAATTAACGGTACAAAAATCCCTTTTTTAGTTTAAAAATTTCTACCAGACACACCTAGATATACGTTCTTAAGAATTGTTGCAAAATTACCCCAACTTAAAACTGAAGAATAAATTGATTTTAGCTACAAAATAAATTAAATAAGATCTAATATAAAAAATTATTATAATTGATTATTTTTAATTTTTATTCATTGAACAGTTTTTTGTTAATTATATTAGAACATAACAATTGGAATTTTTTTTTTTTAATCTTTTTTAAATGTTGGAAGACTCAAATGAAGTATTTACTTAAATTTTTTAATTTTTTACTAATTTATTATATTAATTTTGATTGATTTGACGTTATTGTTTAGGAAAAGAAAAAATAAATTTTATATAAAATATATAGATTTTTGAAGAAAATAATAATAATGATAATAATAACATAAATTAAGTATATACCGCACGATTTGTTATTTCAATTAGAAGTAATTTTGTCCGTTTGATTATTTATAAATTATAATGATATATTTGTAAAAATTTTAGCAAATTGTGTTTTTTAAAAACCATTATAGAAAATGTAAGTTTATGGAAAACGATAAATAGTGCAATTACACACTAGGAATTAGTGTATTAAAATTGTTGGAAATAATTGAATGAATATCAGTTTTGCTACAGATCGAATGAAAATCAGTTTTGCTATAGAAAATCAAAAGCCACCATATCAGTTTCAGTCAGCAGCCCCTCAACGGCGGTTCCCTCTCCTTCAGTTTCAGACTTTATTCATGCAAATAAATGTCATTTTCGGTATCAGGTAAATCAGTCTTCATTTCAGTCGTTCATCTCTTCAATTCCTCGTCAATGTCTTAATGACTACACCCCTCATCCATGTGTATAAATAGAGGAACTCATAGTTGGAGGAAAATACAACAACAAGTGATTAAAACCTCAAACACAACCAAAGAAGAAAACCTACAGTTTCTTCTTTTCCATTTTCGGGCAGTACAGTTCCTCCTTCTCCATAGCTTGGTTGATTTCTTTACTTTGCTAAATCCTTTGAGAGAAAAGTCACAGCTGGTTCGTAGGTCGGTAACGTCGTGCAACGTGGACCGATAACCGATTGTATCCTGGGAATCGAACACCGATCAAAACCTCGTGCACCCCGGTGAGGCGGCGAATTCGATTTAAGGAAACCGTGTGAACACGGGCCTTCGGTTTCATCTATTACTTTGGTTCACCTTTATTTTGTCCCACAAGATTTCCCTTTAAATTATGAGCCCTCTATTATATGTTTTTCATAAATAAATTTCTACTTTCCTTTGAATAATTTTAATTAAAACTTAAAAGTAACTTACTTTTATTATTTAAACAAATAGCCAAACATGCTCTAAGAGGACCATCCCACGTCCAAATTAATGGCCGTTGGGGGAGTTGGCAGCCTATCAAGAACCTTTTAATGCATTGTTTGGCACCCTCCCCAATTCAACTGCGTCAATCAATGCACTCTCTCTCTCTCTCTAGCTTCTCTCTCTATATTGTACATATGTATATAAATGCGGCGCCTGCTCAATCAATATTGTATGTAAGGTGGGGTCATAAATTTGAAATTTCCGTGACCCATCACTTTGAGCTGATCTAATTTCACAAATGCATGCAATTCTTATGCTTTTGTGGGTCTTTCTCCAGTCATTTTGTACTTGATTCTTCATGTGAAACGAGAATGCAGACCCAAATATTTGAAATTTTTTTTATGGGATTTTGGAGTTTTGACTTTTGCTTTGTACTAACGGACACGTAAAGGTTTGGGTTGTTGAATTTTTCTTTCCTTTCTTTATTGATGATTTGTCTGCTTGGTAGATGAACGAACTCTGGCGGAATTTACAACGTTTCTTGTATTTATTTATAAATATATTTAATTTTCAATTGACTGTAAACGAAGCTTGATCTCTTGTTTATAAAATAATAATCTGATCAATCATATCTGTTTGTGTTTGGTCTTTTTAATCTTAATTTAGGGGAATCAAGAAAGAGAAGAATTCTGGGTGGATAGAAATCAAAATTTTAGTTCAGATTTAGGTGAGATTTTCACTAATAAGATTCAGCTCTGTGGCCGCCCTAAGTATCTGGGAAGTGGAAATAAGGGTACATTGGTGAAAAATTAGTTTTATATGATTGAGAAAGCAACTTGTAAAAGAAATCCGCAGTTGGGAAATTTTGAGCTTTTCTTTTTCAAGTGAGAAACTATATATACATGCACATGCATGTATAACAAGGTGGAGTATTTGAATCTAGTTTATGAAAATTGAAGTAAAGACAGACAGGGCAAGTTGCTTCAAGAGCCTGCTTCGTTTAGGAAATTTTTCAACGTGAAAAGTGAGTAGATTCTTTAGAAAAGTTTAGGTATTTGGAGTTTAATTTGTTAGTTTTTGGTTTTGATTTTACTTGGAAAAAGATGGTGGGCAGTATTGAGGTAGCGAGCAGTGAGCCATATTTGAATGGGGCTATACAGAATCACAATGGTACGGAAGAGAAGCTAGATGAATTTCGTAGATTACTAGGCAAGGTAGATGGTGATCAGTTGAAGATTGTTGGTGTAGGAGCTGGTGCATGGGGAAGTGTGTTTGCAGCTTTGCTTCAAGATAGCTATGGTCAATTCCGAGATAAGGTTCAGATTAGAATATGGAGAAGGCCGGGACGATCTGTTGATAGAGCCACGGCAGAACATTTATTTGAAGTGATCAATTCCCGGGAAGATGTATTGAGAAGGTTGATCAGGCGCTGTGCGTATCTGAAGTACGTGGAGGCACGATTGGGTGATCGTACGCTTTATGCGGACGAGATTTTGAAAGATGGATTCTGCCTGAACATGATTGATACGCCACTATGTCCTTTGAAGGTTGTGACTAATTTGCAGGAGGCTGTTTGGGATGCTGATATTGTAATTAATGGATTGCCTTCAACTGAAACACGCGAAGTTTTTGAAGAGATTAGCAAGTACTGGAAAGAGAGAATCACCATGCCGATCATCATATCATTGGCGAAGGGCATAGAGGCTGAACTCGTCCCTGTTCCTCATATAATTACTCCTACGCAGATGATTAATCGGGCAAGTATGGCTCACTTTTCCATTTTAGCTTATTTTGTCCATAGCGATCTTGTACATTCTGATAGCAATTTGTACACTTGCACATTTTGATTTCGAGTTCAGACCGCCTTCACGAGATACATGGGATTTGTGAATTGTCTGTGAACTTGAGGGGGGAAAAAGAGAAAAATTAGGCACTGATGAAACTAATTAGTCTATTTATAGTATAATTAAAAACTCGGATGAAAATAACCAGATTATATAGTTACGTTCCTTCTTTTCGTTCTTCAGTAAAAAGAGGACAACCTTAATGGGAGGTCGGCAGATGATAATATTGCTTAAAATGCCATGTTTGTTCAAGAGAATGAAATCTGTTGTATGCAATATAATGTCCAGAAATGTTTGGCATGAAATACCTTTTGATAATGTTTTCAACTGAATAATGTAAGTTGCCTTTTGATAATGGTTTCAGTTGAATAATAAAAAGTTGTCATCCGTGCACATATTTCTTTAGACTAGATTGTGTGTCCTTAAAGCATTGAGGATTCTCAAGCTTCTTCAAGTAGAGTGTTAAAAATGGAGGTTCTTCTCAGTCTCGCCAAGTGAGTATTTTTTCATTTATGAGTAAGAGATGTTTGCCTGCATATTGGCATGTAAAATCACAAAGAAATTTACCGTCATATCCACTGCAGGAATCTGCACCTTTGACATCTTTCTATTATAGCATATTACTCAAACGAAGCCATTTTGCTACATTCGTGGACTTATACTATATTATGGAACTGTTGTTTAGAGTTCAATGACATGGAGATCAAGCGTTGGATGTTAGGCCTTTCCATCTTACTAACTGTATTTCATGTCTTCCCCACGACTCCCCTAATTCTGAATAACAGGAGAATCAAATAGAACAAAGCAAAGCATCTAATTTAAAAGAAATTTTCTCCATGTCCCTAATTCTTTCTTTGTTCCTTAACTATATTATATTCACTGGCAGCCAGGGTACCAATGGAGAATATTCTTTATCTTGGCGGACCAAATATTGCCTCAGAGATCTATGACAAGGAATATGCTAATGCTCGAATATGTGGAGCCGGAAAATGGAGAATACAGCTTGCTAAGCTCTTAAGGCAACCTCATTTCATTGTTTGGGACAATAGTGACCTTGTCACTCATGAAGTCATGGGAGGATTGAAGAATGTCTACGCCATTGGAGCTGGTAATTCTACTTTCTTATTTATATTCAATCCTTCTTCATCTTTTATTTCATTTTTTTTCCCTTTTTACTTTCTCCATGTAACTTTGTCACTTCAATTTCTTAAATTTATTCATTAGTTGAAAATTATGAGATGAACTGGCATGAAGTTCTATCAATCATCCTATACACTCTTGAAATATGCTGAGACATGCTTGATTTCCCTCGTACTGAAGTTGATAAACGTTCAACATCACTTATGCTTGACACTAGATTAATGAAATTGCTAGTTGGCATATTGTAATTTATGATCTTAGAAAAACTTAAGTGATTTATGCTATCAATCTTTTTCTTGTATCTTTCCAAGAATGCTTCCATGCGGAGAAACAATCTTTAAGCTTCAATTGTTGTATTGCATGGAGTCTAATACCATACACTTATAGGGCTACCTTGAATAGACCTAATAATCCTACTACATAAAGGATTTATTAGTCGTCGTGGGGCGGTGGTTTTTTTTGTGGGGTTGTGTGCAAGAGAGGTCTGGATATAGAAACCCTGCTGGGGCGAGTGGGCATAGCACTCAGTGAATCATTGTGAACTTGTGTCGCATGTGCTTTGCTTGTTCTCTATGATGATTGTTCTCAAAAGTAGGAATTTGAAGTTAATCCATTACATCAACTTCTGGTGTTTGCTCAACGATCTCAGGAATGGTAGCAGCTCTGACAAATGAAAGTGCTACAAGCAAATCAGTATATTTTGCACATTGCACATCCGAGATGATATTCATCACTCATTTGTTGGCTGAAGAACCCGAGAAGCTTGCAGGACCTTTGCTTGCTGATACGTATGTAACCTTGTTAAAAGGTCGTAATGCATGGTATGGTCAAATGATAGCCAAGGGAGAACTGAGCCTTGATATGGGAGATAGCATCAGCGGAAAAGGAACTATTCAGGTCTATATCGTATTCCTAGATGATTTAGAGCATGTTTTAACTCAGCTTGAAAGTTGTATAAATATGCTTGGAAGTTGGAACTCTTTCATTCTGGTATCACACTAGAAAATAAATTATAATTTCTTATCTTTTTCCAAACCAGGGAGTTTCTGCAGTTGGAGCATTTTATGAACTTCTAAGCCAGTCTAGTTTAAATGTATTGCACCCTGAGGCAAACAAGCCAGTTGCCCCGGTTGAGCTGTGTCCAATCTTGAAGACTTTGTATAAAATTCTAATTACCAGGTACTTTTTTTTTCCTTATTATATATTTTTCTTATTTAAGAAAATCAAATATACTTGAGCCCTTCAAAAGCAAATTACTTTGTGAACTAATTTTTGATGTTAAATTGGAAAAAAAAAAAAAAAGAGCAAGTCACCAGAATACTTTTTTTATTTAGAGGGTGTTTGACACCCATTTTTTGGAGTATAGAATTTTTGGAATAGTGATTGATGGGAGAATGTGTGGTGGAAAAGTTATGAAAAGTTTTACATTTGTGTGTAATATTATTTTATTGGGAGAATGTGTGATTGAAATGAAGAAAGAGAAAAAAATAAAAATGAGAATGAGATGAGAATGGGTGCCAAACAGGGGCTTAAGTATTGACAGAAATTATGGATTCAATGATTATAAGACATTTCTAATATCGGAAAATTTGAATTTCTGCTTACGGAGCATTGAATCAATCGACAGGGAACAGGGTACGCGGGGCATTCTTCAAGCACTACGAGATGAGAACCTGAATGATCCCCGTGATCGAATTGAGATTGCACAGAGCCATGCCTTCTACAGGCCTTCACTTCTTGGGGGCAGTCTTGAGTGATATCTGCTGTTTAATGGATGAATAAATAAGGGATGTATAAGCATATAAAAGTAGACTGTCAACTGAAAATCTGTAACTGTGCTGGATTCTGTATTGTTTGATTCTCTACAGGAAACACTTGTTTTCTATTAGGGGTTTGAATAATTCAATGTTATTTGTGTGGAGGTGGGTTGAACTTTTGAATCTTTTTTCACCAAATAAACTTTGCATGTTGTTTCAGTTCATATCCCTTGAAATGGTTAACTTCCGCCTTGTGCAACTTCTCCACTGATACTGTGTAAATATGTTTATAAGCCTAGCCTATTATATAGAGGTGTCAATCTAGTCATGTTGAAACATTTTGAGATAGTGTGTCATTCTTTTACGTTTGTTCAAGGGAGCCTCTTTTTTCGTTGTTTAAATACAAGGCCACGGGGAATGCGGACCCCTATTGCCAGGTCCACGACAACTCCAAGGCGGACCAACCGAGTCGGTAATGTTGGGCCCAGCCAGGGAGAGATTATTCAAGTGTGACAGTCCAATAAATTTTAGGAACAATACACAAAGGGAAAAATTCACAACTCAAACTTTATCTATCCCAAAATCAAAAATTAGGCTCCAAAGTTTAGAATTGCAAAAATCAGGTTTTTTATGAATTAATTAATTATATTACACAATTATTATATTAAATTAAATATTTAATTGTAATATACCCCACCCCACCCCACCCCACCTCCCCTTCTGGCGACTACTCATGTGACCGGCGAGCACTTCGACGATTGTTCTCCAGTCACATATCAAAAATTTTGTAGGTCACAGATTAGGGTTTTAAAGGAATAATTATTTAATTAAAATGATAAAAAAAATCCTTTTTTTTAAGATAAAAAACCTGATAAATGAAAAAAAAAATGTGAAAACCTAATTTTTTTTAAAATGTGAAAGAAAATGTATGGTTTTATGTAATTACCACCTTGAAGATTTTCTACAACTAAAGCTTTGTCTTTTCAAGGATTTGGTTAATAGGGCTCCTTACTCAAAGGTACAATTATTTTAGTTAAACAAAAAGTAATTTTCTTATAAAATATGACGGTGTCAGCAGCTGTCAAGTTTATACCCAAACCACCAGCTCTTGTACTCAGCAAGAACACAAAGATATCGTTCCTACAATCAGGGAATGTGATTTTGCAGAAAACTCACATTTATAGAATGTTCCATATGGAGCACGTTACTAAAGAAAAGAAAAGGAAGATAAAATTTTAATTCTCATGCAGTTCAATCATATTCAATACTATATACTAAACATGCACTTATAGAAGACCAGAAACCAAGAAAATTAAGTACATAACGATGCTGGAAGTCCCTAATCATGTCTCGACGATCCATTATCGTGGACGATCCGTCGAGCCTTAAGTATCTATATTTTCTGTAGTTCATATATTCCTCCCAAATAAGTCACGATGAAGGTGATAGAGTTATATACATTTTACTCTCCATACGATGTACCAACCAATAATCAGAAGATAAACTTATACAGAAAAGCTGCTGAGTGTCGTAACATGGAACCGTAGCCTACTTCTTGGTAGACCAGTTTTGGTATCTATATCAAAATAATGAAGACCGTCAGGAGGAAGTCAACATAATTACCTAAATTATATTCTGTTAAGAGCTACTTAAATTTGGATCGAGGCAAGTGCTTATTAAGCCATAGAGAGATAACTTTTCATATCATAACGATGCGTGTTAGCTTCTTTGCAGATGCGCATGAAAGTTCTACACAAAAAAATGATTTCCGTTTACCCCTACGGCTCACCTCCACCTTCTCAGTCCCGTTCGTCTTCTCTCTACAGCCCTCCTCCACCACCACCGTGCCAATCCTCTGGCGACACCCCTGTCGGTGCCCCACACTCCGCCTTCCCGCCTGGCATCAACCCCAACGTAATCACCGGCTTCCAGTTAACTGATCGGGCTGGCAATGGGTTTATAGATGATAAGGAGCTCCAGTTGGCGCTATCCTCGGATAATCAAAGTTTTAGCCTAAGTACTATTCATCTCCTCGTGTATCTTTCCACCAATACCAATAACAGAAAGATCGGTATGCTTGCTTCTCTCTCTGTGCATCAGTATTGTGTGTATAGTTTTGTTCAATCTGGTGTATATCACCTTTTTTTGCGGCAGACACATTTCGATGTGATCGTAACAAATGAACCTTGCTAGGTGTAGTAAGGGGGTGATTATGCCCCTCCACAAAATGACGACAGCCCACAAATTTCCAGTTTGTCGTTTCACCACTGAAAGTCTAGCAAGACACCCACACCGTGTATTTCCACGATTTCGTTCCCCTATACGTTGAACATAATTTTTAATCCTCATCTGGTAGTTATTGTTTGTCTTTCCTTCCTTTGAGCAAACAAACAATTTCTAGACAATCTCATCGGTTCCCTTTTTCCTTCTGCTGTTGTCTACTCGTGTACTAAACCCCGCTTCTCGTGCATATTGATTGTAAAAATTAAATGCATTGTCGGGTGTTTCAAACTGTTGACCAGTTTTAGGAATTGAATCGATGGTAACTTGAGGAACAATCGCATAGTCATCACCTTCCATTCCTAATGAAAATTATCAGATAACATATATCAATGTAATGAACAAATTTTAACACCTAATATTTTACTCAAATTAACCTTATTAGTTAAAATAATCAAAATACATAATCATATCATCAGTCACAAAGCTAATTAAGATCAAAGTTGAGGTCACATACTGAGAAGAAAATGCAAAAATACTCAACAAACACATGGAAAGACTTATACAATGTTCATTACTTATCTCCGTAGAATCGGTAAGTCTGAAGAAGCTTTGAAATTGATTTCTGAGGTGCTGGATAATGGGATTGTTCCCAGTACAGTAAATTTTAGAAGAGTTATTTACGGGCTAAATAGAGAGGGAAAACAAAATCTAGCAAAGATTATACTGCAGAAAAAATCGGATCTTCGAAGAAAAAGAAAAATATTAACATGAATTCTAAATACTGTTTTGCTGTAAATATTTATGATTTATATCGATTGAAACCATTTTAACATCAGATCATCTTATCTACCTCAATCCCTAATAACACAAACCCACTGCCATTGATCCAAACACTTCAAGAAAAATTAATTATAAGCAAAACCCAACATGCTCAATCCCTAATAACACAAACCCACAAAAAAAGGAGACCGAATTTTATATGAGAAAATATAAATTACATTTCCCACCAATAACAAGCTTTAGTTACTTTTCCAAGTCTCAATCGGTGATCGAGGATCAGTGGTTTCGATTCGTTGGTGGGTGGGGGAGGGTTGGGACTTGGGATGGTCGGAGAGGAGAGATGGTTGGGTGGGTTTGTGCGAGAGAGACGGAGAGAGCAGTAGGGGTGGGTTTGTGGAATTGTGGCTGCTGGACTTGCCTTAGCTTAAGGGTTTTCTTTTTAAATCTTTTTTTTTTTTTTGGCTTCGGGTCGGGTTGGGTCGGTTTCTATCGTGTTTGGGCTGTTAACCCACAACCCGACCCAATTACCCACCTGGAAACCCGAAACCCACCCAAAAATGTAAAAAATCGGTTTGGATCAGGTTGGTCGGTTTGGTCGAGTTTTGCCCACTCCTACCAACTTCGGATTCAACAAAATTGATGGTAAGAAGAAATAAAGTAGAAAAAGCAAACAGGAACAAAATAGAGAAGGTGACTTTGGTCATGAGCAATCGCCAAAAAGTGATGGGAGTAACCAGTAGCGATGACCCTAATGTATTGTGAAATATGGCCACCTCTACAAAAACATACCCAGCAATATGGATTTAGAATCAAATCCAGCACACAAGAAATATAATGTCGGAGAATGAGAGAAAGAGGGGCAACAAATATTTTCGAAAATCAGCATTTTGCAAGTCAGACATTCCTTTTAAATGTTATTTTACAATTACATGGAATCAAAATATTTTCCTCGTTTGGATACTTTGATTTTTTTGAAAGAAAATAAAATTAGTTTTTAATGGAGAATATGACTTTTGCCATGTTGTCTGTTCTTGTTGCAATCGTTGAAAGGTGGTGGAGCAACCAACGGTGACAACCCTAATGCACTACAAAATATTGTCAACTATACAAAAACATAATCAAATATTTTCGGAAAGTTACATGCAAGGAGTTGGATGTTCCTTTACAATTACGAGGAATCAAATTTTTTTTTTTTTCGAAAGGAAAAATAAAAAAATAAAATTATTTTTTAACGATTGAGGTAAAACTAAGCCCCCGTTTGACACCTATTTTGAAGAAAAAATAAATTCTGAAATAGTGATTGATGGAAGAATGTGTGGGTGAAAAGTAATGAGAATTTTTTGGTTTATGTGTAATATTATTTTATTGATAGAATGTGTGGTTAAAATGAAGAAAGAGAAAAAAAATGAGAATGAGAAGAAAATAGGTGTCCAACTAATTTTAAAAATACATTTGCCCCCATGCAGGATCGAACTACAGACCTTCAGTTTACAAGACTGACGCTCTACCACTGAGCTATAGGGGCTCTTGAATTTCAACTAATTCTATAATATCTTTAAACTTTAATGACATGCTTGCTAACGCGATTGATTATTCCGAAAAGCAATATCAAACCCTAGTAAAGTTCCACGTCCACGGTCAGATCCAACCATCCAATCCTGTCCAAAAACCCAAACTCCTCCACCACCATAGCCGCCACCACGGTTGCTGGCGATTGATTAGACGTGAAGAAAAGAAGCAATGGCGGCGAAGTACGATTTGACGCAGCGAATAGCGCCGCAGCTGGACAGGCACCTGGTGTTCCCGCTACTGGAGTTCTTGCAGGAGAGGGGACTGTATGCGGAGGAGGACATTTTGAAGGCGAAGATAGAGCTTCTCAACCACACAAACATGGTCGATTACGCCATGGATATCCACAAGTCACTCTACCACTCCGAAGACGTCCCCCACGGTAAAAAGTCGCATACATAGATACATACATGCATATGTATATATTTTTGTGTACAGATAAGAGTCTTCTACCGGTTTTACCTATTATTTTCGTAGCTGATTTTTTGGTTGGATATGTGAAAATTAGGATTTTAAGGGTTTTTGATTTTTTTTAGCATTTTCAAATATCGAGCACAGATTCTAGCATGTATATGTAGGCGTAGATGTTTGTAAAGGAGGGTTTTTTGATTGTTGTATATTTTTTACATAACAGATTTTACCTGGTATTGTGACTGCTGTTTTGACATATGATAGATGGATGCATGAAAATTGGGATTTTTAGGGTTTCTGATTTGTTGACTGCATTCTCAAAATATGTGGGTATGTGTAGGAGAGGGTGCTATTTTTGAAGGGCCATTGTGACTTCATTTTATGACTGCTATTTGAAAATTTCGGTTCTCATGGTTCTGATATCCCCGCGAATTTCAAAAAACAGAAAAAAAGAGAACCTGCTTGCCCACCAGAATATAAAACCACCCTGCATTTATTTGGGAGACACGGTGAATTTGAACTCTAGATGGGACTAATTTACCAATTTTTGTAACTAACGGTGGATACCTAGTTACATGGTTACTAGGGCTTGGCTGTTGGGTATATTTAGGAGATGAAGTGTTAATTCAGATGGTAAGAGTTAACTCATTTTTTAGCTACTAGTCTTAATATGTAAGTGCATCCCTGACTTGGGTCCTGTAGCTTTGGTATGTGGCGTGTTATTTACATGTTGGTATGTGGAGGGATTAATGTCTTGTGCTCGAAGATGCTTTCACGTTAGCTTACATCCAAGTAGGAGCCTGGATTTGGAATTGTGAATGTTAAACTATTCCAAATTCTCTTTTACTTATCAAAAAAAAAAAAACTATTCCAAATTCTATTTTCTTATTTGTCGATTTGTGCATGTTGATGTTGTAACTGAGTAGATTTAATATTGGTTTTACATTTTTCACTTATTTTCTATCAACCCGATTTTGTCCACGGGTGGCCATCTTTTTCCTTGTTGAATTATTTCTTATTCCTAATGGCTTCAAAACCCTTTTGAGATGCAGTGGTCTAGGGGTTGTGTTTGAGTTGATTTCTGAACTCTCTCTCTGTCTGTCTGTGTTTGTGCGTGCACGTGCTTTTAGATATGGTGGAAAGGAGAGTTGAGGTGGTGGCCAGGCTGAAATCACTGGAGGAGGCTGCAGCTCCTATCGTAACTTTTCTGCAGAATCCAAATACTGTTCAAGAATTGAGGGCTGACAAACAGCACAATCTTCAGATGTTGAATGATCGTTATCAGGTTAGGATTCATATAGTCTTCTGAATTGTATGGGAGTGTATGGCAATGTGTCTATTACTCATTGATAAGGCGGTAAAGTTCCTTTGTATGATAGGGGTATAATGAAAATAAAAACTTGAAGGAGAGGTCTTAGAGAGTGCACATGGTTGCTAAATAAATGTGTAATGCATATAATTTCTGGTACAAACCTGAGGGTGCCGAATCACTTGGTTATTTCTCTCACATGAAATTGCCTTTGTGAATGAATCGCAATCCATATCATGGTTAAAAACTGCACTTGTTAATTAAGTTGCTGAATAGTTGAATGCCTACCTTGTCATCATTTGCATTAAATTGTCTTAACTGATTAACCACGTATAAATTTGTTATCCAGATCGGTACCGAGCAGATAGAGGCATTGTATCAGTACGCAAAATTTCAGTTTGAATGTGGAAACTATTCTGGTGCTGCTGATTATTTGTATCATTATCGGGACCTGTCCATGAATAGCGAAAGGAGTTTGAGTGCATTATGGGGAAAACTAGCTGCTGAGATATTGATGCAGAATTGGGACATTGCATTGGAAGAACTCAACCGCTTGAAGGAAATAATTGACTCTAAGGTTGCTTTTATTGCATATTAGGATTTTATTAACTGGTTCTTGGCTTACTTGTATGATACAAGAAGCTTGATATAGTGATGATACATGGCTTGCAGAGTTTCTCTTCTCCTTTGAATCAAGTTCAGGGTAGAATATGGCTTATGCATTGGAGTCTGTTCATCTTCTTCAACCATGAAAATGGAAGGACGCAGATTATTGACTTATTTAACCATGACAAGTATGGATCTGGGAATGAGATTTACATTTAATTGAGTTGAAAATCAATTTAGAGCTCCACCCAAAACTGTTTAAATAATGCTTAATTTATACATATAAGTGGGCATTCTTGCAATTTGCTTTTTCGTACTATCACATTTGTGGTTTTTTTTTCTCGAATCTACTTGATTTTCTTGTTTTTATTGCTATTCTTAACTCTGGATTCATCATGTCACTGAAAACTCCCAAAAATGGAAGTAAATTTTTGAAGAAAGATAATACATATGTGACATAATAATCTTGCATATTTTACTACCTCCCTCTAGGTAAGATTGCACGAATTTGATACCATACAATCTCTATCAGGTATTTGAATGCCATTCAAACAAATGCTCCCCATCTCTTGCGTTACCTGGCAACTGCATTCATTGTCAACAAAAGGAGGAGGCCGCAATTCAAGGATTTTATTAAGGTTATTCAGCAAGAGCAGTACTCTTTCGAAGATCCCATCACAGAGTTTTTGGCATGTGTATATGTCAATTATGACTTTGATGAGGCTCAAACAAAGATGAAAATGTGTGAAGAAGTAAGATTCCTAAGTCCAAATAATTCCCATTTCCTTCTTTTTACTTAATTATGCATTTTCATTGAAAAGGAGGTATGGAAGTGGAAGTCATTCAACATGGTTTTGATTTCTTGGGAATAATTATATGCGCACATTTCTTGTTTGGCTTTGATACATTTAATTAGGGTGCGTTTGATTGCAAGGGTGGAAAATGGGTGGAAAGAAAATGTTTTACATGGAAAATATTTGTCTAGAAAATGTTTTACAGGGAAAATATTTGCCTAGAAAATGTTTTGCAGGGAAAATGATTTCAAGTGTATTTAATTGGTATAATTTTCCATCCGGAAATTTTTTAAATTTTCTATTCGTTTGGCTTTGTTTTACATGGAAATTGTCCATTAAAGTGATATTTTTTTTCACAATTGGTTATAAAATTTGTTTCCATTGCCAAAAAGTAAAAAAAAAGGGAAAAAAATTGTTTCCTAAAAAATCATTTTTTTTAATCAAAGTTTAGTGTTCGTTTGACTTTGTTTTACATGAAAATTGTCCATTAAAGTGAAATTTTTTTTTACCATTAGTTATGACATTTGTTTCCATTGCCCAAAAAAAAAAAAATTTCCAACCAGCCAAGAAAATATTTTCCCACCAAAAATGCGGGAGAACATTTTCATCAAAAACCCGGAAATTGCACACGTGTGGGGAAAATCCGGAAAATATTTTCCATGGAAAATTTCGTCAATCAAACAGCCGAAAAAGTGGAAAGTGGAAAATATTTTCCTACTTCCCTGGAAAATGTGGCCTATCAAACACGGCCTTAGTATAAAGTTAATTTTTTTTCTCCAGGATTCCACCCTCATCTTAGCCCAATAAATTATTATTATTGAGATAGCACCAATTCTTAGTACGTCGAATTTGCATTTTGTTGATTCTCATGTATGTTGTGCAACCTTTTCTTCATATTCTTTTTCGGCTGTTAGTTTCAACATGAAAACTGTCTCGCATGACACACGTGACTTCTTAGAACTTAATCCTATTTGTGCATTAATAAGGACATCGCATGCTTATAAATCCAATGCTCTTTTGAAATGCTGCGAGCTAAATTTTCTGTAAAGCTCCATCTTCTAGATGTCTAAAATTGTTTTCATATGTACTATGATTTTGTTTATTTTTGTTTGATGAATACGTGTCATTTTCCCGTTCTTGAGATCAGTTCACTTCAAATTAGTGAGGCCATATTATGTCAAGATTTGTTTTGTTTGTCCTTTCCAGGAACTAAGTAATCTAACCTGAAAATGCCTATTTCCTGGTCATTGATCCACTAAAAAAATGAAACTGATTTAGAAGTCGCTTATATTTGTTGCACGAGGCCGTTTTCTAATTGTGTAGTCCAGTGTACTTATCTTGATATGCCGGATCTTTGCTTTATGATTTTAAAACCGGTGTGCATGGAAGGCTTATTATTATTATTATTATTATTATTATTATTATTATTATTATTATTATTATATCTGTGTCCTTGTTTATGCGCCTTCGGAACATGGATATTTTGATGCAGGTTATATTGAACGATCCATTCCTGGGAAAACGAGTGGAAGAGGGGAGCTTTACATCTGTACCATTAAGAGATGAGTTCCTTGAAAATGCCCGCCTTTTTATGTTTGAAACCTATTGCCGTATTCATCAGCGTATTGACATGGGGTACGCGCTTTAAATTGTTCATTGCACAAGTTAATATAGCCCCCATCCGTCCAATCCTCGAGTTTTTATTGCTTCTTTGGTTAATATGTAGCCTAGATGCATTACAATACAAAATTTTGGGGTTTATCATACTGATCGTCCTAACTTTCCAACATGTTTAGTTTATAATACCCATTGAATCATTTTAAGTTGAAATTTTGGGGTTCTCTTGACAGGGTGCTTGCCGAGAAACTGAATTTGAATTATGACGAGGCGGAAAGATGGATTGTGAATCTTATAAAGACCTCAAAACTTGATGCCAAGATTGATTCTCAGACGGGAACTATTGTAATGGAACCCAACCACCTCAATGTGTAAGTTCTGCTACAATTTCGCATCCTGACGCAAGACCATTCAGACTTTCTTCACAGTGGCGTATTTCCAACTTTGACCCGGAAAAACATTAATTTCAGAACTTATTTACTCAACTGCATATGTTCCTATTAAGTAAAATAAATTGAACTTGCTTTATCATTGTGCCTTCTGTTTTGACTCTTTGATTTCCACTTATTTAAGAAAAATATTTGTTAATTTTTCAGCTACGAGCAGCTCATTGATCACACCAAGGCCCTTTCTGGACGCACTAATAAGTTAGTCACACAGCTTTTGGAACATGCTCAACAGTCACAGCCTGCTCGATAGATTTAATACTGAAATAGCTTTTACATTTTGGCATTAATGAATTGTTTTTTTGGTAAATTTTGGATTAAGTGCAATTGAAATTAATTTATGCCAATCATTTTGTTTTCTTGACAAGGAATTGGGAGCTGTATTCATCGGTGATGTTTCACTTGAATAGTTTTAATATGAAAATGTACTCTTCAATTTTTGCCACTCAGGGTCTGTTTGGCATGGTTTTTAGAAAGTCGGAAGTTATTGAGGAAATAATGTATTTTAAATAGTGATGGTGGAAAAGATGTAGTTAAAAAATAAGAAAAAGTTATTGATGTGATAGAAAATATTATTTTATTGAAGAATGTGTGGTTGAAAATGAGTTTTGAAAGAATGTGTGCCAAACAAGAGCTAAGAAGTTACTTTTGAATATATTTTGGATAATTTATTGAAAGTATTTTGTTTTGTTAGAAGAGGTGTAAGGTAGCTTCCCTGAGGCAGGAAAGAGGCAAAAGTCATGTCAACCTCCAATAAAGTATAGTTACCACCTGTTGTGCATATCAACCTCTAAGTCGAGTTTGAGTGTCTTCCATAGAGTTCGAGTATATAATGGACCCAACGCATATTGGCTTTTGTTAACATGTTGGGGTACAATTCGAAGTTTGAACTTTTCTAGTAATACACTTGCCTGACATTATTTTGCATTTAGACTTTTTATCTTAAACATTTAGATGGGCTAATGTGTTCGGTAACAACACTTGCAAAAGTCTCGAGCTCGCGTCCATTCATGAAATCTTTACCCTTTAGATTTTTTTATTAAAAATGATCGCGTGCTAAATGCTTGATTTGGACGGTTTTCATTCGAAAGAATGTTTAGGACTGGGGATTAGATTAGATAAAACTCGATGTTATTCAACACAAAAATAAAAATCTTATTTTAGAATAGTAGATTGATAAGAATTTGTGGTTAAAAAATAAGAAAATGTTAATGGTTTGCGTGTAATATTATTTTATTAAAGAATGTGTGATTGAAAAGAAGAAAGAAAAATATATTTTGAAAGTAAAAGTGTATCAAACAAAAGAGAGAGAGACTGACATCCGTGAGAAGTAAGTTATCAAACAAAATTTCTTCCAAGATACAGGGGAAGAGAATCTTCCCAAAGAACACAACACCTTCAGGAGCTTACACACAAAAACATGAAATTGTGGAAGATTTTCTGTATATGCACACATGTACATGAGGTAACACGAGCCGAGTCTGAAACAATTTTAACAATGGCTATCTCGTTTTGGCAAGCTACTACTGAGAAATACTGCACTTTTGGTTAATGTTCTTCGTTTCGCCATTAAAGGAGCTCCATGAAGAAAGCCCAAGCTTGTGTGGAGAATGTTGACCTGAGTATGTATCGCATAATCTTAGCCGTTGCTTTGGCATGCTCATTGATCTTGTTTTGGCCTTAGCAGATTCCGTGGCTGCCATGTAAGTCGGGAAAACTGGTGAGTTTGGTAAGGAGCCTTCGTCTCCAATTGATTTCTGTTTTATGTGACAAAACGATCTCCTAGGTAGTGAAAATGGGGAATTTAATTCTTCTATCAATTCTTGTTTATGTGCAGTTCTCAGCTTTAGTAGTGTCAGCCGATTCGAATCACCTGCAGAAGTGTATAAATCAGGTAAATTCTTCCGTTTCTCCGTTTCTTCCTTTCTGCTTGACTGCCTGCTGCTTTCTCTGTGGGCTATTAATTCTTGCAGAGTCAGGTCCTTTCTTCTCTCCTGAAAAATGAGGAAAAGGACTCTAATGAGATTTAAAAAGTAGAAAATTATCCTAATTTGTTGACAAGAAGAAAAATGAAATAAATTCTTGGCTGTTATATATCAGCACTAAAGTTCCAATAAAAGTTTGAGCGACGTTATAGAATAAAGTGCCCAAGTTACCCGATGAGAAAATGAATATTGTTTCATCCGCACTCTTTTGGCAGTGGCTTCTTGCTTTTTTAGCCACAAATCTTCCATATCTTCCTTCGAAAACAAGCTCAAATCCCAACTCCTTTGGCTTTTGCATTCAAGCTGCCAATGAACGATTTTTTCTTTCTTTATTTAACTTAAAAGCATGAATTTACTGAACTTCACAATAAGAGTATAGAATGGAAATCATAAAGTAAACAATTTGAGGGGACTTTTATGTGATTTTCATTTGACTTCTGGAAGTTTGCCTATCAACAGATAGAGAGTTTGTGTTAAAAAGCATCTGGGATATGTTTGATATATAATAAAGGTGGGATTAGACAAGACAATATAATAAACAAGATTTTAACTTATGAAACATGCCACTGCATATTTCTACATGAAAAAGTAGCATCTGAACTTGTTCACACACCTTTAGTTCTTCAGATTTGAGCACTTCCTTTAGGCTAAAACTTTGCTTCTTTTGATCATGATCATGATATTTATTCAGAGTTGGAAGAGCTATATGATGTTTTGATTGTGCCTTTGCCAATGACGAGATTCCCCTCAGTTTTTGAACCACTCTGCGTCTCACAAGCTCGCCTCGAACCACTGCTTGAAGCTTCACCATTCCCTTCAGTGCATTTAGTGCTTTCCTAGCCTGCAAAATTTCCATTGGAAGGTAATAACTTGCACTGGAGAGGCAGGGGCATCCTCCATCCTTGTTACCACAGTGAGCTTATGTAAATGTAATTATATAAAAAATGATGTAGGGAATTCATAAGAAGGTCCGAGGACTCGAAACATATGGAATAGCACCTCATATGGATGAGTTTATGTCTTAAAGGAGACTTGAACGTTCACAGACGTGTTATCTCTTCTAAAAACGACCGCAATGCTGTGAAAGACTTGTGATTTTGTTTAAAAGTAGACTTATCAACCTTTGATAAAAGTATTTACACTAGTTGTAATGTTGTTAAGACTCCCGGAGATCTAAATCCCAGCCAAATACCCCTCAAATGGAGTTCTGAATTGACATTTGCCTCCTAAGCTATAAATTTCATTTCTGGACTACTGCAAGTTCCTCCAAGTAACCTTCTATTCAATATTCATGTAATGAGATAACTACCTCAAAGTGAGTGGGCACTGTCAAAATTGATCAGTTCAGATGAAGAACATGAACTAGTTCAAAATTGATGCGGAGAGGAGGAGCGCAATCTAGCCCTTTATGATTTCCCTTTCGTACTAAACACATAAAATACATTTGCAGCACAAGCCACTTACGATGACAAATCAACAATTGAAGATCAAAGAAAAGGAATTTGGAGAAACTCACAAGGTGTCCTCTGTAAATACTTTGAATTTTAATGGCAGCAGAATTTTGGTTTTTCCTTTCAAATTGACAATGAATGTTTGTCATCCGGACCACCTCAGCCGCAGCATTTGCTGCAGCCACGGCAGCCTCTGCTGCAGCTGCTGTCGCAATTGCAACAGCCAAAGCACGCTTTCTTTGCTCTTCTGTTGCCTCAATTAACGTTTTCTGATCAGGTGCTTCAAGTGCAGGGAACTGTCTGAACTTCAACCTTCCAAACAGCCATTTCCATCTCTTTGATTTCTGATCATGATTTGAGAAAGGGTCGGGTGAACTCAATAATACACGCCCGTCTCCTAATGAAATTCAAATGGATATTAGAAAACCAATTTATGTACCTCTTCAGCTTTTGGCTTTGAGTCAGGAATGAACAGTCTTTTCACGCAAGTAAACCAGCTGATTTTCTTTCCCATTGAGCAACCAAAAAGCTATGAAATCTGGTTTTTGCTCGGATTAACCAGTTGAGACTCGAGGATAGGATAACTGGTCGAGGTCAGGCCGTATCCAACACTAGCTTTTTCCTTCAGAATCATCTCTCTTTCTATGGGAACGAAACATAAAAGCTTATTTCAAAATCACAGATAAACAAACACAATACAAAACTCTTGACGAATCCTATGAAAACATTTCAAGATGATGAAATTGGAGTAAACCAAACGAGTATCTAAATTTTGTTTTTGGTTACAATATAGATAATTAATCAAGAATTTTTCCTCAAAGTGTTGTAAGCTAATCAAGAGATGAAGATTTCTCAAGACTATATATACTGATGAGAAGGAAAGAATACCTTGGAAAACTTCATGTCAAAATGCAGGAGAAAGCCAAGACTCGCACATCAAATTTATATATGATGTGATGAGAGGACACCAGTTGAGAATAAATTAAGAAAAGCACGACTTGGATGATGGCACATGTTTTGCGTAGACCTAAAGAGGCTCATGTACATGAGAATAACACGGTTTTAGCATAACAAGTCATAAGATGGACAACATATATCAGAGCCAACACAGTATATTGTAATTGGTAAAGATCTAGTTGCTTTGAATTTCCCAGTAAATTATTGGAGACGATGATGAAGATGAACTCATGTAGCCGATTCAAACTTTTATGTAAATCCAACACTTTCTTGAATAATGTAGGTACAAATGGGGTTTATTTCTTTCTCGTTGAACGTTCAAAGTACAAGAAATTGTTTAGTCACGCTTTCAAAAGCACATCATGTGCAGATGGAAAGTGAGAGTGAAAGCAACTTTAGAAAAAGTACTTAAATCAATTGACCTTTCAATTATTTAAGTACCATTTTATGCGACTTATGAGCAATTGCTTTTAACATCAAATGGCCCTCTTTCTTTAATTTCTTCTTTAATTGTCATCGTCACAACTGCTCCTGACCAGTTCAAATGTCTTATGAGTGAAGTTACTAAAACAACCTTTAGGCATTTGTTTTCCTTGAAGAAATGCTTGCCTTTTGAAGCAAATATATCTCCATAGATGTTTTAAAAAATAAAATAAATTTATTAATTTTTCCGAGTTCGATTATTAATGTTTCCCGACCTATCAATGTTTCAATAATTCAAATGACTTTTTTGGGCATATTTTAACATGTGCAATACTAGACAACACTTACGGAATAGAACAATAAAAATAAAAATAAAAAAACTTATTTTATTTCTTGATCATTTATCTCTCGTGGTCTTTGTTTTCAACTCTTTGTTACGTCAAAGTCTATTTACCAATAAAAGTGCACAACACATTTCAGTGAAAAAAATATTTCGTTTTTTTGGTGGTGGTTAGGGATTCTTTTTGCCTTTCTTTTTGGCCCCATGGCACTAGCGAGAGTCTGGCGGGCGATGCCAATTTCAAATCCACCACTCGGTTTCACATTGCGAAGTCAACTACACATGTTTTCTAACAATCGATTTATAATCCTTAGCCCCTATAAATTAAAATCTAAATTTTAATCTAAACCTTTGTTTAAGCTCCATTATTTGAAAAAAATTGATTTTAGAACAGTGTTTTTTTGAAGAATGTGTAGTTAAAAAGTAAGGAGAATTTTTGAATTTATGTGTCATGTTATTTTATTATTATTATTTTTTTTTTTGGTTGATGTAGGAACTCGCAGCCGCTACCCGCCAGCTGAGGCCCGACCACTGTGAGTGTGCACTAAGTAAACCTCGCTCCATGTGCAGTAGCTCGTAAACCACACAAGAGAGGTAAACCGCACTAGGTAAGTCCGATGAGATGAGCTCGATCGAGGAAGTGTTGGCTGGAAATTCGAACTCGTGACATTTGATCCCCGCGTTCACAACGTAAATTTTCTTTATGATAAATCTAGGATTTATAGTAAGTGCATTTAAAACTTTGGTTTTTGGTAACCTCCTACCAAATTGGAGAATTGATCTTGTCTGATGATTACAAACCAAATGATAGTCAAATTTGTTTTTACTGCATATTTTTATCTCTATTAATATAATGCCAATAAACAATTGATATATATTAAAAACATCTACGCATGCAACCAAAAATTCTAATATTAATCAGTCTAATAATGTAAAGATGTGCTTGTTTCCAAAGCAATAATGTATCATCCTCAAGAAAATGATGCAGTCCACTGTGGTACATACATTGCTTTACAACATTGGACCCAAAACTTTGGCTGCAATCATAACTAATTCTTCCTTCTTTATTACTATAATTTCAAAATCCCCTCTACCAATCATATTATTTTTTAATACATGAATTACGTCATATTTTTTTTCGTATTTCTTTTAACTTAAATCCAATCTCAACTTCAAGATATGTGAGTTGCCCTTAACGAGTATTCAAGACATTTAGGGTCTGTTTGAGCCGGATTAAAATCTGATTTTAATCCAAATCAAAGTCAAACAATCAATATTAACCACATCTTTCATGAATCCCCACATCTCTTCAACCATACATTTAAAAACTTCTATCACAATCCATTAAAAATCTAATTTTAATTTCCACCAAACACCCTTTTAGTAGGATTGGCTGCTTTACCAGTCTTGCAGAGTAGACTCTTTCCGTGCGTAAGTTTGTTCTTACCACAAATCTAAAATTTGGGTTTCATAGAATTTAGTGCCAAGAAAAAGACTTTCGGACTCCAAAATCAGACGGTACTTTATAAATAATATATATTTTGGAAACCTATGGGGCCATGGGGATTGAAAAAAAATGTTATGAACAGATCTTAGCAATAAACATATTCAAATGATAGCTAAGCACGGAAATTTTGCGCAGAAAGTTGAAGGCAATGATTACAGTTATTTATCTTAGATTATCTGTCCCTCCTTTATAGAGAGGTTGAATATTCAAGTATTTCTTAAGTATTAAGTTGATCCTCTATTTTTATTTATTTTTAATTAAAGTCCTCAACGGAGGAAATTTTTCGTCCAAAATTCTATTAAATCATTCTTGGCTCTTCTATGTTTAACTTTACGAAGTAAATCTTGCTCTAAGACTTGGACTGAAGTATGAAAACTAGAAATGAGGTTAATTCCGTGAGTGATTTGTTGTTGATTGTACAAATATATAAATTGTCGAGGATCAATTTTTTCATCGTAAAATGTTAAGCCCCAATCTGTTGTAGAAACTACCGTTTATAAGAATGATGCAATCTCGTCAAATTAAAACATATTAAAAAATAGAAAAATATAGATTAAAACTAATGTAACCTTGTTGTAGCTACAAAAGACATAGCTATATTGGATTTTTCAATACATGTAATAAATTGAATGAATTGAGACACAGAAGACATCACTCAAAACATATATCTTAATGATGTAATATTAATCATTGATTAAGCAAGAATCCTACCAAAACATCATGTTAAGTTGGCTAAAAATCAACTAATATTTCAAACACGTTTTCAAATTGTATTGTATTAATGACTACATAACATACCCTCCTTTGTCTTTCTATTTGATTTTTCTCTTTTGTCTTGTTTCAATGGATCACAGAGAAAAATTTGAGCCACAGCTTCTTGTAGGGGTTGCATCACCAGTCCAATCCATGTTGATTGGCCTACAAATACAGCCTGCCCAAATAAACATCTCCATAGGACCCTATATGTGTAGATAAGATTACATCCAAAAGGCTAAAATTGTCAAGAATCTTCTTAATTATATTCTAGGATTTTATGTACATTGTAGGACATAGTTAACTAGGTGATAGACGGGCCAAGTAGTAATACATTCTGTTAGATGGCACTATTGACTAGACATAAAAGTCTAATATTACATGTGCGTAGCTAGAAAAAAGCGTTGAATGAGCTAAAATTTAAAGTTTTCAATAAATTTACGCTACTAGATATGATCTCTGCTACACGAGATCTAGTTGAAAATGCTAAGGTCATGACGCTCATGACAAAATGGTCCAAAGACTCAAATCAATTATATATCTAGATGTTAATCCTAAGATATCTTACTGAATCTACGTAGCTTTTCTTGTCAAATATGAAAGTGATGCCCTTCTTAAGATGGATTTTGCCATTTGTACATTCTAAGGATGGCATTATTGATGATATTTGCCTCTTTTTTTTTGTAAAAAAGTGATTAGATGGAAGATTGTTTTTATCAAATGACACTTTGCCATCTGACAGAGTGTAAATCATGGTGTACACAAAACATAATTGTCTTAGGATATACAAAGTGGCATAAGCATAGAGATGTCAACGAACCAAGTCGGCTCAACTTGTGAGCTCGAGTAAAAATTATTTGAGCTTTTTTTGGCTCAAGCCGAGCCGATATTTCGACTCATTGTCATGTTAAGGTAGCTAGATATATATTTTAAAAATTTAAAAATTATTTTATTTTTTTTATTTTTTTTAGACTCGGCTCGTTACTAGCAGAAAATAGCCTGCTCGAGCAGACGCCCCAAAATGGGTCTCGGGCGGAGCCTCGGTTCAATTTTACTGAGTCACGGATCGTCCGGACCGACAAGTCAAATTGACATATCCCTACGTAAAAGCATAAAAAATTAAGAAAATATCTAATGAATTGCAAGTCCCAAAGAACTTTAACTACAAATCATTCCATACAATTGAAAATTTTGGTCAGACCACAATAAAAATATATGATTTTAGTCACTGTCCTCAGAATAAAATAGGCCATTAATTTACTCTCTGCAGCAATTTTCCAGAGAAAAGAGTAGCCAACGAAGGGAAAATGGAAAATCATAACACATTTGAGAAAGTTGTCTTTGCTTTTGAAACTCTGATAAGATCTATTATTCGAAAGAAAATTACAAATTCAACCCTACTAAACTAGCTTAAAGCTACTTTAGTCAACACAGATTAGTGCCCAACACGAGAAGCCGCGTAAAAATAAAATAAAATTAAAATTAAAATTTTACTGTGTTTCAGCTGGTAATTGAACAGCCATCAGTTCACCTA